TAAGATGTGTGACCCTGGGCATGAGGGAGGTCAAGCTGGTTTGCTTGGTGGTCCAGACACGACTAGCTGGTCTAGAGGCACAAGCGACAACACGGCCAACATTCCAAATTTGTTTAAAAGAAATAAGCGGACCATCTCTTCCTCAGGGTGTAAGCATGTAAGCATTTTAATATCCAGTGCAAGGGTATAGTTAGCACAGAAGCTTAACGTGGCATGCATATCACGTACATAAATGACTTTTTTGTTAACTTTTTCATATAAGGCGATCAATAATGAGTTGCATGAAAACTGATAAATTGCATACGCAAGTTGGAACGGATTCTTGATTTTAGCAGCGCACTGAAGGATCCTCGTCCCTCAGAACGCTGCTGAAATCAATAACAATAATGTGCTGTCTGCGACACAAGTTAACAAGTTTCTCCTAAGCACATCATATTGGACTGATCTTCCTGAATGCCACTTGCTTTGATTTCGAATGTTTGATTATCTTCGCAGATTTGGACATTTATACGCTTGTTCAACAATCGATGCACTTTCTTGCCGAGACGTACAAGGACACACAAAACTCCAGGCCCGTAAGCGAAAACGATATAGCTGACTGCATCGTTTCCTCCACCACTGGGTAAGCAATGATGTTCGCGCTATTTATTGAGGCTCTGATGACGAAAAACCGCGCCGCAGTAGATGTGGTACCAGAACAGCGTCACTGGACGCATAGATTTTGCGAACGAAAGGCAAGGATGCCCATTAATTTGACACCAGACCACCGATTTCCTCTCGGTCTACCAAAGAAACACTTTGTCGACAGGCAAGGATGCACATTAATTTGACACCAGACCACCGATTTCCTCTCGGTCTATCAAAGAAACACTCTGTTGACGTTGCGATGCTCTCGCTTTAGCAGATTTATCACACGGTGTTCGGCGAATGCTGTTAACATGGCACATTGCGATGTAGAACGTACACATGTACTGTACAATAATTTGCGTAGTCGTAGGATCAAAATACGCTCCAAACTGAAACCAGGGGCAAACCCGCTGCACCATCGAGCAGAGAACAATCAACTTATTTTCCTCTTAATAATACTTATAAACCAACAAATAATTTATTTGGTTGTTAAACGAAGCAATATATACTAATATTACAAAAACACTATACAAAACATTTTTTTATACAATGCGTTAATAATTAATTTATGCACATTAAAACACGTTACACATTTGTTTAATAACACTTTTGTAAGTTTATTGCATTATGAAGTAATAATTTGCACATTTGATTAGCTTTACATTAACTTTTTTAAAAGTGACGTCACTTCCATGCGGCGCAGGAGCCACTTCTATGTGGGAATGGCTGCTGCGCCGCGCGGCGCAGGAGACGCTGCCAAAAAAAAAAAAAAAAGAAAGAAACCGGCCCCCTACGAGTTCATTTGCGAAATCAGATAATGCAGATATGCCCTGTGGTTCCTGCAAGCAAAATACAGTCGAACCCCGAAACAACTAACGCCGCTTCAACGAAATTCCCGCTACAACGAAAAATTCACGGTTCCCCGTCAGCAGTCCATAGGAGTCGTGCATAAATATTGTCGTCACAACGAACACTTTTTCTTCTGCCGTTTCGCTTCAACGAAATTTCAGGATGCGATTCCAGGCTCAGATATTTATTGCTATACAGTAAACCTAATCTTTAATAATTTGATGCAGTTTCAGAACCTGAAAATACATTGACGAAGTCTAAAATACGCGTTGGCACCACCAAAAACCACCGCTGTTCAACAAGCATGGGCGCCGCCATCGCTCGATAGCGATGGCAATGAGACTGCCCTGATTTTGTCACTGGCAAAAGCAGGGCTGTCTCATTGCCATCGCTATCGAGCAATGGCGGCGCCTACAGTGTACTAGAATAGAGGCAGTGTGCTCACAGGCGGCGGTGGGTGACCCACTTCGTGTCGACGCCGAGAGGCGGCGCGGTTCGCAGCGTCACCTGAAACTCCTTTGCGCGCCGAAGTAGAGAGCCACAGCGCAATTGTTGAAATGCCAGAAATTATGCAACGTTCGCGACATGCAATGCACGACACTTCTTTTGGGGCATCTTATCAGTGTGCAGGGCGTGAAGCAACTGACATTGTATTATTTTCCGGCCGTTTAAATGTTCAAAGTGGTTTCGCTAATGCAGCGGTCATGTCGACTGCGGTTCCGAGGTGCGAAAAACACTACGCACTTTTTTTTCGCAATGTCAGAATTAAAATTTTGGAGTTTAACGGGCCGAAGCCACACTTTCGCTATGAGGTGCGCCATAGCGGAGGGCTGCAGGTTAATTTATATCCCTTTAGAATTTTTAACGTCAGCCGAAATGCCGACACACGGCTTGTTTCGTTTTTCTCCTCCGTCAGGAGAACAGCCACCGCAGCTAGGATCGAACACACGTCCTTGGGTTGAACAGTACAACGCCTTAGACAGCCTCCACGCCGGGTTTTTCTCGATTACGTGCCTGCTGAAGGAATGCGCGCCCTAAACCCAAACTTTAACCACCACGACAACCACGCACGACGTTTAACATTATAGCATCGCTGCTTCGAGACTTTAGGTGATGATTGGTGTGTGGTGTGATTCTTGCTGTAAACAAGACGTAGCATCATTATTATCAACAGCCTGTTAGGTCCTGCAGGACGGAGACCTCTTTCATTGATTTACACCCGCTCCTGTCCTTCACTGCCAGAGTCCATTCCATTCATTGCCTCTGAATTTTCATATTTCGTGTATCCATCAAGTTAATGACATAGCAAATTAAAAAGAAATGATAAAAATCCATGTAAATTAATGAAATAATGTTTATTTACAAATAAGTGATGAAAGAGTTTGCACAAGAAATATTAGGGTAAAAAAAAGGCTGAATAATGGCAAATCGAGACATTTACACATTGATATGCACCATTACTTGGAAGGAGTCTTTAAACAATAACAAAACGACAAGCAATGCTCGGGCTCCGCTGGAACGTCATCCTGTGTGAAGCCGCTGTCCTCCCCTGAATCACCAATAGCAGCTCGTGGAAATTCAGTACAGTCAGTCTCGAGAGCACTTCGGCTCTTTTTCTTTGTGGCTGCATGGTCATTTTCGCACATCTTCCTTTTAGCTCTCGGTTTTGGCATCTTCTTCGTGAGGTACTGCGGCAAATTTGGAAGAATCCTGGGGACGGAGTTTTCCGACAGCATCGGTTTATCACGAGGAATGCGTACCTCTTTGCCATCTATATGGTGCACGAACTCCTTGATAACGAACCTCGGTTAGAAATGCAGTTCGCAGACCGCAGAAAACTCATCCAGTTTCTTATCTGCACGGTGGAGATTTCTTTCCCACTCCTTCCGCCGTTCTTCATCACGCGGGACGCTGAACAAAGACGCCTGTGGTGCATCCTGCACACGACTGTACCCGGTTCGACAACCGGGCGCAAAACAGTAATTTCAACGGTGGTTAGGCATCTTCACGAACACATACTACACAATGATCCAAGCATAAAGCACAGAACACGCACACGGGGTACCCACGTTGATCCAATCGTACCGATCAAACTGAACTGAGCGAACCAGCCCCGTCCGCCAACACGAACCAAGAGAAGTTTTTCAGGTGCGTCAAGCGTCAGCGCCCCTGGTGGGCATCGTGGAAGTCGACACAGAGTGCGCTACGGCGGAGCGCCGCAAGGATAGGGCAGTGAGCACACTGCCTCTATTCTAGTACACTGTAGCGGCGCCCAAGCTTACTGAACAGCGGTGGTTTCTGGCAACGTTACTAGATCCTGCGTTGGTTTCTGGTGGTGCCAACGCACGGAGGAAGGAAAGGTGTTTTATACTTTGTTGACGTATTTTCGGGTTCTGAAAATGCACCAAAATGTTAAAGATAGGGTTTACTGTATAGCCGCAGACAATCCGTTTTGAAAATGCACCAAAATGTTAAAGATCGGGTTTACTGTATAGCCGCAGACAATCCGAAGCTGAAGCTCAGTTCATGGTTTCCTTCGCGCAGCTGCTAGGTGCATCTGCGGAACGACGACTTTTCCCGCTTCCTGTGCTTATTTTGTTCGCGCTTGGCCAGTGTGGTAACTAATCAGAGCGGCTGTTCGTCCGCATTATCAACAAAACCAGCTAGCCGCGAGTGATGGTTGATAAGAATGGCATAGAATGATGCAAAAGTCGCCGCTCCACGATGCCCTGCCTCCATCTCGGCGCTGTCCGACACTTTTGACAGCCGAGAGCTGCTGGTGTTAACGTGTTAATGCAACTGTTTGGTTCGTTCACGAAAGCAGTTGTAGTAATTGTTTCAGCGTGATTTTCACCATGGCCTCGCTATGCATGGGTGACAATGGCGTCGTGACACTGCTGGGATAGAATAAAACTTTTGAATTTTGAGAATAAACGTTCCTTTGTTTTGCCAGTTCAGATTGGCTTTATTTTTTCGATTTCACTACAACGAAATTTTCGCTTCAACGAAATTTTTCCCGCGCCCCTTCAGTTTCGTTGTAGTGGGCTTCGACTGTATTGTTTAATGGCATCAACCTAGTAATCTTGGAAGATCCTCGGAGCATGCCAAGCACAAAGTACGAGGCAGAGGAGCGAGAACGGAATTAATGAACAACCAACACAGTCCTGAGCCTTTGTTGCCATCTACACTTGCATCGATGACTAAATTAAACAAAGCTTCAGCAACTGTAGCAGACATGCTTAGATTTCACTCAGCACAACCAAACTGCTGTCTGTGATCGCGTTGATTGCTCAACTAATGTTTTATTAAGCATCTTTGGCTGAATTAATGATATAAAAACAAAGGCACACTCATATCAATAACTCAAGATAAGTAACATGATAAACAGCGAAGTAATGGTTGTACAGTGAACCACATAAGAGATGTTAGCAAATTTCCATTTCTTTTTTCATTTTTACAAGCTTTCTCTTAATATACCAAATAAACTTTAGGCACATTAGGTATTAACGATAAACAAAACTCACCTGCGCCGTGCCGATGCATTCTGCCCGTTTGCTGCTGCTTTGTCGCTGAAATAAAAGAAAAGCAAAGCATTTGTCAAATTGAATAGTTGAGAAGTTATGCCACTACAGTAGGAATGTAACACCAATACTGATCGATGTCCAGACCTTCTTGAGAATATCATTCCCGTTAATAGTTTCACAAAAGTTTAAAGGAGTACTGACAAGAATTTCAGAAAATTTTCATGATGCGGCTCCAAACATTGGTGTCAAGCACGGTGTCAAGCCTCTACGAAAGGGCTATTATGGTGCCTTGGAATGCACTGAACATATTTTATACTTTTATCTTAAAAAGACGACTTTCGGTTTGGATGCGGGAAGGCTGTGTCAAAGTGACACATTTGAGCTGTGTTAAGTCGTCATGTCTACTGCAATGTGGCTGGCTTACAGATATTGTACGAGGGTATGTGCCACATTTCTACGTCCAATATGTATGTGTCCATTCCTACGTCTAATAAACAGGCATGGTTATGCCTGCAAGTCCGCAGCGAACGTCCATGCCTCTGAAAAAGGCAATCCGTGTCAAGGCCAGCACGCGAGCCCGTCTGACGCGAACAACTCAACGGCGTCATCACGCGGCGGTGCCTTTCAGCCGCGCACGCACAGTGAGTCACCTCAGCCAGCGAGCCCGTCGAAGCAATCGGCGCCTTCCTGTCTGGCGAGTCCGACGCAATGCGTGGCGACGTCAGTCGTCCTTGGATGCAGCCACGTGCAGCGCAGCGGCTTCAGATTCGATAAGAATGACACGGCCCAGCGGCGACCCCATTGGAGGATTCTGACTTCACGACCAGCGGCGCTTCTGGTTGGACATTTGGTTACTCAAAGAATCCACCCGGTGCATATAAAAAAAGCCCTGCGGCGCATCGCGCGCAGTAGACCTATGTGTTAAAGAGGAGAGCTCGGCTCTTCGGGTCTCTAAGCTGTCGGCCCCAGTGCCGAATTTGTAACGCCTCAGTATATATGCTGTACATAAACCTTGTTTAACTCACCACGTCTCGTCCGCTCGTCTATCAGCTCTGCGCAGAAGCAGTCGCGAGCTGAGAAACCTACCCTACCAAACGGCTGGTGACCGTGTCGGCGGAGATCGGAGCAGTGGCGGCAGCGGTGGGATTCGTGGCGCCCTTTGCAACGTCGTCGGAGGCGCGCTTCGTAACAGTGGTTGGCAGCTGCGGGATCGGCCGTCGTCAGCGACATCGATGCGGTGAGTGCCTGATGTTGTTTCCCCTCAGTTCACCAGACTACTCTAGCTCAGGTTGTAGTAGTTTAGAGAAGGGTTGTGTGAGGCATTAGAGTGAGCTTTGAGCATTTCAAGCAAAGTCAGAGCGCTTTGAAACCAAAGTTAATGCGGAGGGTGTAAACACGGCAGTGTTAAAATTGCTTGCGCGTCTTTCTAGTTGACTTATAGTGGGTACGGCAAGTAAATTGTTAACAGGGGCAAACAGCAAGAGGCTAGTGTGAACGATGGAGAACCTTAAAGTGAAGGAACTCATCGAAATTTGTGCAGAATTCGGCATTACTTTGGGCCGTGTGAAACGAAAGCAAGCGATCCTTGAGATCATGAAGGATGAAGGAGTGTCGGCTGAGGAAGTCGATGAGGCCTGGGCGGATATCAAAGCACACCGCGAAGAAGCTGAAAAGTGCGAACGTCGCGAGCGCGAGGAGGCCGAGAGACAGGAGCGCCTCGAGTTGAAACGAACAGAATTGGCAATCCTACAATGTTCGCAGGCGCCTAGCGTAGCTTCTGCGACAGTTCAGGTCAGCGGTTATAGAATTCGGGACCAACTGCCACCGTTCGTAGTAGGCGAGGAAATCGCGAAGTATCTCGTCAAGTTTGAACACGTCTGTGAGCGAAATGCTTTGGAGCGGTCTCTTTTGGCGCAGAACCTGTTAGCTCTTCTTCCCGGCGAAGTGTCCGACGCGATAACTTGCTTGTCGAGGGACGCGTTTGAGAGCTATGACGAGGTTAAGGAAGTGCTCTTGAGACGTTATAAGTTGTCACCCGAGGCTTTCAGACAAAGGTTCCGGTATGTTAAAAAGGGGAATGAGTCACACATTGACTTCGCGTTTCGTCTTAAAGCCGATTATATTGAATGGCTCAAGGGCGAAGGTGTTTATGACGACCGCGATAAAGTGGTAGAATGCATTGCATTGGAGCAATTCTACCGCTGCATCGAGGAGGATGTCAAGCTTTGGCTGCAGGACAAACTTGGCGAAGTACAGCTAAACAAGGCAGCAGAGTTAGCTGAGGAGTATTATACTCGCCGAAAGTTGCATAGCAGGGCAATGCACGTTGAAAAGGATGAAAGGAAAGAGGACTTTTCAAGGAAACCTGATCAACGGAAACCCGCTCCGCACCGTAATTTTAAGAAGGACTCATCTCTTACGAAGGACACTGTAGGGGAAGGGCAAACGGAAGCAGAGAAATCGAGTGAGGTTCCTAAACAACGCACTGATACCACACGGGCATTTTAATCACGGAAGCCGCTAATCTGCTACAACTGCAAAAAGGAAGGGCACATCGCGATAAACTGTAAGCAAGTTTGCTTTTACAACAATCCGAGAATCAGAAAAGAACATGCGGTTGTTAGAGCCGTATATCCAAGAAATTAGTGTGAATGGGAAAACGTGTCAAGCACTTCGTGACTCAGCGGCAACCATAGACGTTGTCCATCCTTCATTGGTGTCCCCGGATGACTTTACAAGAGAATGCGCGTGGATCAGACAAGTCGCCGAGGAGCAGAGAGCTTGCTTACCAATCGCTACCGTTGTCATTGAAGGCCCGTTCGGTAAGCTTCGCACCGAAGCGGCTGTGTCTGCCGCGCTTCCAGATTGTTTTCCTTATCTTTTCTCTAACAACTCGGAGCAGCTTCTCAAAGAGCAGGGTAAATCGTTCTTCCCCAACTTAGCGTATATGGCCCTCACGCGATCGCAAGCGCGGAAGCTTGATATTGTTCAGTGTGTTGAAACAAGTTCAAAAGCAGCAGATCTGTGCGACCTTGGCGGCGAGTCGACGGAACCTCAGACACGAAATTCTCCTTGTGAGTCATTTGAGCAGTCACTCAAGCGGCCCGTTGCCGAAGCGACCGGCGCGGTTTCCGTAGCAGGGGGAGACGACATGGCGCCATTCAGTCAGAGCGAGAGGGGTGCAACGCTCTTGCCTGTAGCGGAGAGTTAGAGTGAGCTGTCGAGGGTTGATCGAGAGACGCTCATTCGAGAGCAACGTGAGGACCTCTCGATTAAAGCGCTAGTGAAGAGCCTAATGAAAGCTTCACAAATGTTGTCGAAGGAGTACTACGACAAATCGGCGAAGAAGCCCGCTTTTGAAGTAGAAAGCCAGGTAATGCTGCTGCGGCCGTCCAAAAAGAACAAGCTCTAGGTTCATTGGGAAGGGCCCGCCAAAGTAATATCGAAGCTTTCTGATACCAATTATGAAGTGAAATTAGGAAGGCGGCCGAACAAAATTTACCACAGTGATTTGATGAAACCATACGTTCAACGTCAAGCGGTCGTAAATGTGCTGTTAAATGCTTCAGAGGAAGAGGGAGCAGAAATTTTGAGTTCTAGTGATGTAATCGGAAGGGGATCAGAGGTAATCTTAAAGCAGTTGAACCTAGAGCCTAGGTTAAGTGAAGTCCAGAAGGAGGACATGAGAAGGATTCTTTCAGAGTTTGAAGACGTGTTTTCGGACCGTCCCGGAAACACCACGGTGATCGAACACAATATCGAGCTAACTGGTGAGGAGTCAATCCGTAGCAAGCCGTATCGTTGTTCCCCTGTGCAACGTCGCAAGCATGAGCCGCTCTTGGTACCGTATAGGTATCGTCGCCTAAAAGTGGCCGTTTACCGAGATGGAGCATGCTACTCCAACAACGCAACTTTGACGTTCGCAACAAACAAAGGAAAGCTAAATGCTAATGCTGCTAAGAGCTAAATGCTGCATAATGCAGACGCATTGAGCCGTGCGTGTTAGTACCTTTTCCACCTTTCGGTCTCTCGCTGGCGATTCGGGGCAAAATTTTGTCCTCATCACAACCTTAGCTGAGCGCTCTCGTCCAGAGTGAGCTTAAGGAGCCAACTTATGTTGTATTTTATTTCGCTACGTTGTTGTACATGTAAAAAAATTGAGTTCTCATTTTAAGAGTCTTGAGTCCCACATGTGCCTCTTGATGTAGGGGGAACGAAATTCCGATAGACACGTAGCTAGGTATATGTTGTAATATACTTTGTCTGGTGTTCTGTCGGGTGACCGAGGGCACTTGCTTGTGTCGTGTGTTGCCTGTTGTCGAATGGTCTTGACAAGTTGCAGAACCATCGACAAGTGCTGAAACCAAAGATCGTCAGAAGAGACGAGCGAAGCTGGTCGACAAGTTGTGGCGACAAGCCAGTAGAGCTGGGATCCGTCCTCAAGAATGGGATGTGTTCCCGGAACAGAGTCTGGAGCTGCATTCTCCACATGGCCCTGGAGGCGAACCTGGAGCGACCTGGCGAACGAGCGTGCCTGACATCCGAGCCACGTGGAAGCAGCTCATCTTTCCGGCGCATTGTCTGGCGGCAGGGGTCCTGTTATGCCTGCGAGTCCACAGCGAACGTCCATGCCTTTGAAAAAGGCAATCTGTGTCAAGGCCAGCCCGCGAGCCCGCCTGACGCAAAGAACTCAACGGCGTCATCACGCGGCGGTGCCTTTCTGCTGCGCACGCACAGCGAGTCACCTCAGCCAGCGAGCCCGTTGAAGCAATCGGCGCCTTTCTGTCTGGCGAGTCTGACGCAATGCGTGGCGACGTCACTCGTCCTTGGGTGCAGCCACGTGCAGCGCAGCGGCTTCGATGAGAATGACGCGGCCCAGCGGCGACCCCATTGGAGGATTCTGACCTCACGACCAACAGCGCTTCTACTTGGACATTTGGTTACTCAAAGAATCCACCCGGTGCATATAAAAAAAGCCCTGCGGCACGTCGCGTTCAGTAGACCTATGTGTTAGAGAGGAGAACTCGGCTCTTCGGGTCTCTAAG